TGATGAGCAAAGAACTCTCTTTCATGCGTTAGTGTTTTGACCTTCATTCTTCTCTAAGGAGAAACTGTGTGTGCGACTTTTGTCTCCGTGATGCCTGTTTGCAAACACAGCTTTTTGGCTGTGTACTGTTTGGACAAGGTGAAAAAGTTGTGGCCAAATTGTGGGTTCATCAGGTTGTTTTCCTATTGCACACTGTTCCCATAGGCTGGTGGTTAAATTCTGCTTTGCTTGTTGTGATGAGGTAAAGGTGGGCCCGTGTGTGTCTGAAAATGTCACTCGAATCAGTGCTCTTGCTTGCCACATACTCAGGATGTAAAGTCAGTGCAAGATCAGCCAGAGACTGGCCTAAAGCAGGGAAAGGGAGCTGTATGGTCCACCTGTGTGGGTGTGCTATCATGTTGGCAAGTGCCAAGGCCTGTGCCACGCACACCAGGTGCCTTTTTCCTGCATCTGGGAAGGAGAGGACAATCCTGTGATGAATTTGTCTGCAAGAAATACCCATGGAAGTGCAAACATGCTTCAGAGATTCTGTGTCTAAGAGCTGCTGCATGAAACATCATTTCTCCATCTGTTTCCCTGTATGACTGTGATGCAGAGTTCCATGGTGGTTGTACTAAGCTTTTCCCAGCCTTGACCAACCTGCAGATTTTATTAAAGGCTCTTGTTCATATAAAGTGTCTGCTGAGGGTATGTCCTGTAATGTGTGAGTAAAGGCTGTTGCTACAGAGTACTGAGAATGAGAGACTGGCTTCCTGCTGGGAAAACTGGAGGATAAATGTGTTTTTGGCTGAGCAGTGGTCTGATGTTGTGCCTGGTGCCAAGGCCTGTGCATCTTTTCTGTGACCCTGGTTTCCTTGTCCTGAAAGGCAAGGGTAGTCCTCTGATAATAGAACATTTTTGCAATAGCTCTGCATTTAGAGGGATGATTCATGGATAGATGTTGTGAATGAGGGATTGACATTGCTTAAAGAATCCCCTTCAGAGCTGTTATCAAAAGTGGGTTTAACATGATGTTGTAGACTGGTGGGAATGGAGGGGCTGGGAGGGTATTTTGGTAATGAATTTACTTGTTGTTTGAAGTAGTTGTGAGCAACTTACTCATTGAATCCTGTCTTGTCTGATAGAGCTCCTCCTGAGAATGCTGGTTTGGGGAGGTAGACGTGAAGTTTGCATTACTTTTGCAAAGTCACATATGTTCCAAAATGGCCATGTACTGAGGAAGAATGATGGTGTCTGAGTTGATTCTGAAGACTGACACTTTAACTCAGCCTTGTATAGCTTATGTCCATTAGAACATTTTAGGTTCCTATGCATGTATCCATGTTCTCTCTAAGGAGAGTCTTTCAGTGATGTCTGTCTGGAAAGGTAGCTTTTCCCATTTTTTGTTCTCCAAAGGAATCCCCTGGAGAACTGTGCCTCTGAATACCAGATCCTCCTCCTGTGTACCTGCTCCATTTGACAGAGCCTGACATATTAGGCTATGATTCCTTCACTTCCCTGGGTTTGTCATTCTTTCCTTGTTCTAAAGCTGGGCCTCAGTTTGGATGACAGTCCTTGAAAACCGGCCTGCTTAAATTAACAGTTTGTACTCCTGTCTTGAGGGGGTTTAGCTGCCAAGACAAAGAGTTGGATATACTTCTGCTTCCCTAAGATATTGCTGAATTTCTCTTGAATGTCCTTTGCTTTTTCACTTGTGCTTGACATATGGCCAGGAGTTGGATCTGTCCATGGTGTGACTAAAGGCTGTGAATGTAGAGCAAAGAGGGTGAGAGGCTGAATTCCTGTTAGGCAATTAGGTGAATTAATGTGTTTTTGTCTGAGCAATAGTTTGATTTCATGGTGTGTCAAGGCCTGTGCCATTTTTTCTGTGATCCTGGTTTCCCTGTTTTCAAAGGCAATGGTAGAGCTCTGAAAACAGAGCTTTTGTCCACTCACTCTGCATGTAGAAGGGTGACACATGGTTAGATGTCATTAATGAATGATTTAGATTACTTAAGGAGTCCTGTTCAGAGGTATTATCAGAAGTGGTTTAATAGGAAGTTTTTGCAGTGTGTCTTTAACAAAGTTTGATGTCAAGGTTCACTCTGTTACTTACTATGTGGCTGAAACACATAAAGGACCTTTATTGAATTAATCCCCTGACTTCCTAAAGCCCTGTTGCAGCTTGGATGCATCCAGGTCCTATCTTAGTCTTAGGTGTGGACCCTGGTGTATCTCTAATAGAATTAGCTACCTGGATTTCATTGGTATTGACTGAGATGTCCTCCTGGTGAGTTTCTCTGAGAACACTCTTAATGCTTCCTTGCATTGCTTGTCTCATGTTTTTCCTTTCCCCTCTCCATATGCACATTTAATTATATTTAGCAAGGCCTTGTTCTTCAGTGCCTCTTTTGTCATGTTATAGCTGGTGTGGAAGGCAGGAGATGTGAGTGGCACAGCTTTGCATTGCAGTTCTGCTGTGAGTCAACAGCTGTCAACAGGACTTCAGCAAAGTCACATTTTTGTGGACCAGTGTGTGTGATAGAAGAGGGGAAGAAATTTCCCCAAGTGCAGAGTTCAATGACCCAGTCTCTGGTGGAGGACTGCTCCTCTTGTAGTTTGTCTCTTTATCATTCCTGTACTATTTATGCAATTATATATCTTCTCAGAATGGTGGTGAGCAAACAAATGTGTTTCTTTCCTCTATATGATCATTATTCGCTACCTTCTCCTGTGATATTTTTGCAAAGTTGAATAGGGCTTTAGAGGGGTCAGAATGAGGACATATTTGTAGGATAGTTTTTAATTCCCATATTAAATCTCCTTTATTTATCTAGATTTTTCTGTTAGTTTTAGATGAAGAGTATAATCCAAGTCAATATTCCATTTTCCCACCCTTGATCTCCCTTCAGCTTTGTTTCATGCTATATTATGTTTCATGTTTTCTACTTGCAGATTGTTCTATCCCATTTGTAACAGTGAGTGTTGTTTTGCAACAAAGACTGACTTTCCTTGAGAACCACAGGAAGACAGAATGTTACATGTGAGGAAAATTAGGCAGAAGCTAAAACTGGGCCCCTCCTAAGTCGCTCTGTTTAGAACAAGGCCTTTGATAAGGCATTTACACCTACAGCTTCCAATTCCTGAACAGGACACAAAGTAGAAAATTTTACAAGGACAGATGTATTTCTGAAAATAAACCCCCCCTACTATATGGTCCAAAGCAAGATTTTGGGGCCTTACATGTGGATTCAGACTTCTATGACTTCCAGGTGCTCTGTGAAGTGTTTTTTTTTAAGGCAGAGTTGTGGCAAAGCACCTGTACATTCAAGGAGTCCAGTATTTCCCTCCAAGGGGCCACTTAGAGCTTTGGGGTTTGTTCAGTAATAATCAGAAATGGGTTGGAGATTTGAGTTTCTGCTTTGCAATATGGACCTTCTGGAGAACACTTGCACGCAGCCACATCCACTGCTGACTCCAAGTGGGTAACATGGATTAAACAAGATCAAAGAGCATTATTGCATAGCAGAAGTCACCTCTGATCCCTCTGTGGCAAGTTCTGGAACATAATAGAGCTTGTACAATACTGCTGGCCAATCCCACCAGTCTGGGGATTGTCTTTATCTTTTTGGGCACTACAGGACTACATACTCCTGTGTGTGATTTCCTACACTGTGCAGACCTGGATTTATCACAGTAACAAATAATCAGCGCCATGTGGGACAGTGGGAGGTATTTGGTTTGGCTTCTTTGGTTTATTAAGTGCCTGGGAGCATTGTTGTTCTGAAGTGTCATAAAGTCACCTAGTCCAGTTAAGGGAGACCTAGTCACCCTTAGAAATCATTGCAGTTTGCCTACCTTATCTCTCAAGGCCTCAGTGGCTTTCCAGGTGCTCTGGGCATGACTTTTGAAGGCAGAGTTGTGTCAGAGCAACTGAAAATCCCAGAGCTGATGTACCTGTTCCAATGAGGTCAGCAGGAGGTTTTGGATTTGTGTAGGAATCATCAGAAATCGCTGTACAGCTTTCAGCTGGTCATGCTGTCATTTGATGTGCTGACCAGGTGATAGGACTTTTACCTGGAAATTCCCAAACTCCAAGTGGTAGAAATGTCCAAACAATTGTTATGGCAGCCCTTGGAGTTTGGAGTGTCCACCAAGAGTACTGAGAGTTTCTGCCCACTGAAGAGTAGTGGGTGTCAGAATGTGCTCAGTGCAGAGCCTGCCCTGCTCTGATTTCTTTTCCTCTGCCAGGGAGTCCAGTGATTTGGGTCTGAGTGCAGGTCCACTACCCATGAGCTTCACATTTCCCCATCAGTGTTAATTGTTGCTCTAAATCATTATCAGACCTGAGCATTTTGGAGCAATGTGAAGTCTTTTGCATGGGCTTCAGAGACATGTGTGGGGAGGAAAATGAAATATCAGCAAAATGTGAAAAGATTGGCAGGTTTGGCATGAACTGAGTGGCTCCGGAAAAGAGCTGTGACTGGGTCTTCAAGGTTTTCCTTCTGACTATCGCGTTTTCTTACAATTTGCAGTGGGTCTTATCCATATTGGGTAACCTTACACACAGTAGAAATGAACTTCCACAAGTGGCTGTGGACAACATTTAGCCACCTGATTGCCATTTCTCACAACCTTATCTGGGGTACGAGTGACACATATAATCTGTAAAGCATGTAAGCAACTTCCTTTTTAGATTTTATTTTTTCTATGCTCTGACTGTGGAGGAGGGAATCTCTTTATTGCTGTAGCACACGTATTTCCTGGTTAGTTTTTGCACCAGATAAGGCTACTAGATGTACAAGTCCTTATAATAGAGCCATACTATTTAAAAATGTACTGTAGCTACAAAATCTTTTCAGTATGGATAGGAGACTAGTGTTCTTCCTCTAATCATTAGAATTCCTGCTAAGCATTAGGCAAGAGGTTCTGCGCTTGCTGATAATACCAGAAGAGAGACCCCAGGGCCGTTGCAGCCCCATCCCGGGCCAAAGTTGGTCCCCGCCGAGCGCGGCCGTGAGGCGGCTGCAGTGTTGTGTCGGCGCCTCCGGGTGCCGCTGTTGGGCCGCCGGCGAGCGTTGCTGGAGCCGCCGCCGCCGCCGCCTGTGCGTGCTGTCCCCGCAGGCTGCTGGCTCGGGCGGGCAGTGCGGGCCAGAGCGGCAGCGGCACGGGCAGCAGAGGCGAGAGGCGGCGCGGGCAGCAGAGGCGTGCGAGTGGGAGGCGGCGGCGGTCCGGGTTTGCTTTGTCGGGCGCTGCTGTGGCTGCGCCGAGCGGCTGCGAGGGAGGCGGGGCGGCGGCAGGAGCCTGGCGAGCTCGGCGAGCGAGCGCTGTGGGCGATGTCGGGCGGGCGGAGGCCGAGCGGCGGGCCGGGCGGCGGGCGAGCGGCGGTGCTGGGCGCTGTGCTGCTGTGGCTGTGCTGGCGGGCGGCGGCGGAGCGGCTCCGCTACTCCATGGCCGAGGAGCTGCCCAGAGGCTCGCTGGTGGGGCCGCTGGCCCGGGACCTGGGGCTCAGCGCCGACGAGCTGCCGGCGCGCAAGCTGCGGCTCAGCGCGGACAAGCAATACTTCACGGTGAGCGAGGGGAACGGGAACCTGTACGTGAGCGAGAGGCTGGACCGGGAGGAGCTGTGCGGCAAGTTGTCGTCCTGCTCGGTCAGCTTCGAGGCGCTGGTGCACAACCCGCTCAATGTTTTCCACGTCGAGGTGTCCATCCAGGATGTGAATGACAATTCCCCGGTCTTCAGCAAGGATACCCTGGACCTCGAGATAGGTGAATTAATTCCTCCCGGCACTCGTTTTCCTCTGGAGATGGCAAGGGACGGAGATGCCGGAAGCAACTCGCTGCTCAGTTACGAGCTCACCAGCAACCCGTCCTTCTCTCTGGCATTAGAGGAGAGTGTGGACGGAAGCAAGCAGCCCACACTAGTGCTGGAGCGAGCGCTGGACCGGGAGAAGCAGAGCTCCTTTGAGCTGGTGCTGACGGCAGTGGATGGTGGGGACCCTGCGAGGTCCGGGTCTGTCCAGATTCGTGTCAACGTGACGGACGCCAACGACAACCCGCCCGTGTTCAGCAAAAGCGTCTACGAGACGCGAGTGGCCGAGAATCTGCCGGCGGGGTCGCTGGTGCTGCGAGTGCGTGCTACGGATGCGGACGCGGGGTCCAATGGGCGGGTCTCCTACTCCTTTGGCAATGTTCCAGATGGCGTCCCCTTGTTGTTCTCTGTCGACAGCGAGAGCGGCGAGATCAGGACAGCAGGTCCTCTCGATTTCGAGGCGACGAATAAATACATCTTCAGACTGCAGGCGACGGATGGCGGCGGATTCACTGGTCACTGCCAAGTGCAGATAGAAGTCTCAGATGAGAACGACAATGCCCCCGAGATCACCATTCTGTCTCTGTCGAGCCCGGTGCCCGAGGACGCGCCAGTCGGCACCGTGGTTGCCCTGCTGAAAGTGCGGGACCGGGACTCCGGCGAGAACGGTGAGGTGTCGTGCGAGCTGTCGGGAGAGGCGCCGCTGTCGATCGTGGCGTCGTCGGGCGGCTCTTACAAGGTGGTGACGGCGAGCGCGCTGGACCGCGAGCAGGCGTCCGAGCACCGCGTGACGGTGGTGGCCCGGGACCGGGGCAGCCCGGCGCTGTGGAGCAGCGCGGAGCTGTTGCTGGAGGTGTCGGACGTGAACGACAACGCGCCGGTGTTCGAGGAGGCGTCGTACAGCGCGTACGTGCGGGAGAACAACGCGGTGGGCGCGCTGGTGTTGCGCGGTGTGGCTCGGGACTTGGACGCGGGCGCGAACGGGCGCGTGAGCTACTGGCTGTCGGGCGGCAGCGCGGGCGCGGCGGGCGCGGCGCCGCTGGTGTCGGTGGAGGCGCGGAGCGGCGCGGTGTACGCGCAGCGCTCGTTGGACTACGAGCAGTGCCGCGAGTTCTTGGTGGCCGTGCGGGCGCAGGACGGCGGGTCGCCGGCGCGCAGCTCGACGGCCACGGTGCGCGTCTTCGTGCTCGACCAGAACGACAACGCGCCGCGGGTGCTCTACCCGCCCCCGCCGGCGGCGTCGGGAGCGGCGTCGGCCCCGGGCTCGGTGGGTTCGGCTTTCGAGGTGGTGCCGCGTTCGGCGTCGTCCGGGTACCTGGTGGGCAAGGTGGTGGCGGTGGACGCGGACGCGGGGCGCAACGCGTGGCTGTCGTACGAGCTGGTGCAGGCGTCGGAGCCGGCGCTGTTCCGCGTGGGGCTGCAGAGCGGCGAGGTGCGCACGGCGCGGGCCGTGTCGGAGGGGGACGCGGCCAAGCAGCGCGTGGTGGCCGTGGTGAAGGACCACGGCGAGCCGGCGCTGTCGGCCACGGCCACGCTGCACGTGGTGCTGGCCGAGAGCTTGCAGGAGGCGCTGCCGGAGCTGAGCGAGCGGGCGGCGGGCGCCGAGGCGGCGGGCGAGCTGCAGTTCTATCTGGTGCTGGCGCTGGCGCTGCTGTCGGCGCTGTTGGTGCTGAGCGTGGCGCTGGCCGTGCTGGCGCGGCTGCGGCGGGCCGGGCCGCCCGGCGTGCTGCGCTGCCTGGGCGCGCAGCGCTTGTCGCTGGCCGGCGCCGCCTTCCCGGCCGACTTCTGCGAGGGCACCTTGCCCTACTCCTACAACCTGTGCGTGGCGGCGCCGCCCCGCTCCACCGCCCCCGAGGCCACTTGGCCGCCACCGCCGCTGCCCATCGTGCCCGCGGAGGAGCTTGTGGCCGTGGAGCCCTGCGAGAAGCCGAGCCCGAGCAGCAGCGCCGTTGTGGAACAGCCGCTTGTCGATCCCGACGCACCACAGGTCTGTAAGAGCCTTCACTCCCTCTTTCTGAGGTTTTCCTAAGGGTATGCAGGTGGCAGTGGGCTCTTGGGGTTTGTGTCTGTTCTGGTGCAGTTAGTGCCAGTCGCTGTTTCCATAAGCGCGGATTAATAACTCTGCCCCTTTTTAGGCAGCAGGCGTTGCGAACCGGCACTTCCTGCCTCATGAGCTGTCACAGATGTCGGCTCAGTTGGGAGGTTGTTGTTGTTCAGCTTATGCTGCAGAAAACCGTAGACTACTTGTAAAGGTCTGCTTCTACATTCTGCTTTTATTAATTTTCCTTTTAGCGCAGTAACGTAACGACAGCACCTCTTTGTTCAACTGCTCAGGTTTTTCTGCAAAGCTTTTGTTGTGTGAAATAGTGTGGGTTAGTCCCGGTGAAGGTCGATACTTATAACTTAGACAGAGATCTGTTAATTCCGCGTTGTGGAGTTGGCAATGTGATTGACGCTCAATAATGAGATTTTGCCTTCCTGATCCTTCTGTACCGTGTAGATACACTGTGACCTGTTTGTTATTTTGGAGTTTTAAGGAAAGTTGCTAGAGGAAAGGACAGTTGTTCTTCCCTAAGGAAAATGCCTACCTTCCACCCTGTGCCGTCCCACTTTTTGGTGTAAGTGGGCTACAGAAAAGGCAAGTTGTAGTGAGATCAATTTATTTTATCAGAGCTTTATTTCTTTGTTCTCTTTCTGCGATTTTTTCTCATTCAGAGTTTGACTGCTTCCTATTTACCGTTCCTGAGATTGTTTTCTATAGGCAGATTGAATGTGATCTCAGAAATGCTTGATAGCATCTCTCGCTAAGGCTGTGATCAAGAATGGAGCACTAAGCTGTATGCAAAAGCAGGGCCTTATGTTTAGGGTGTAATAAAAAATTGGGAAGTACTGTTTGGAGGAGAGCAATGCAGGCTGGTTCAGAGCAGCCTCGGATGTGCAAGTGAAAAGTAAAAAAGAGAGAAGGAAGGGCAGTCCCTAGAATTGCTGCTTTTGAGAAGGTGTCTTCATTGTTGCTATGTGCAATTGCTCAGGGCCTGGGAATCTACTGTGGCTTGAGGTGTCCGAGTGTTGACGCTCGGAGAGGAAACCGTAGAGAACGACTGACACAAATGCTCTGCAGTTGCAGGGAACATGTTGTCCTTTTCTACTATGGAGTAGCAGATTCATAATACTCTGCACGCCATATTTAGAGAACTTTGTATCTATAGATTATCACAATAACATGAATGTTTTCCCGTGCGGTAGAAAGAACATAACGTCAGGTCTCCACTGTACTGGACCCGACATTTCCGCGGCGAATGTGCCATCTTTTTGAGCTTCCCGTGGGCGAGGCAGGGCGGGCATGTCTCGTTGGCGCTCGGTGCGTGCAGTGCCGGGAGGAGGCTGCGGGCGCCGCTGTTGACCGAGAGGAGCGAGAGGAAGGTCGGAGCGCTGCAGCCCCGCCCGCTGCGGCCCGGCTCGATCGCTGGATCGCTGGATTCCTGGGTCGGGAAGCGGTCTGTTTCCGATCGTCCCGGCGGTGCGGATCCGAGATACAGCGAGGCAGAGGGGTCGGCGACAGCAGCCGGGAACGGCAAGTCGTAGCCGGAGCGGGAGCCGGATCGGCGATCGGCGGCGGGGATCTGCCGGCGGTGTTGCGGTGCCGGCGGTGCGGCGGCGGAGATGTGCGCGGCGGGGAGGCGCTGGGGCCGGCGGCAGCGAGTGCTGCTGTGGGGCGTCCTGCTGGCGGCCTGGGAGGCGGCGTGGGGGCAGCTGCGCTACTCGGTGCCCGAGGAGATGCCCAAGGGCTCGTTCGTGGGCGACGTGGCCAAGGACCTGGGGCTGCAGCTGCCGGCGCTCCCTGACAGCGGTGTCCGAGTTGTCTCTGCCGGTAGGACGCAGTATTTCGTTCTGCACGGGAAGACGGGACATTTAGTGACGGCCGAGAGGATCGACAGAGAGCAGCTGTGCCGGCTGGTGGAGCAATGCGTGCTGAGCTGTGAGCTGATAGTGGAGGCGGAAATGAAGGTTTATAAAATCGAAGTGGAAGTCACGGACATTAATGACAATGCGCCCAGCTTCCGAGAAGCAGATATAGAACTTAGAACTAGCGAGACGACGGCTCCGGGGTGGCGGTTTCCCCTGGCCGAGGCTCACGACCCCGACTCTGGACAGAATTCCCTGCAGAGCTACGAGCTGAGCGGCGACGAGCACTTCTCGCTGGCCGTGCAGACGGGCCCCGGCGGGGATGAGCGTCCCGAGCTGGTGCTGGCGAAGGCGCTGGACCGGGAGGAGGCGGCGTTTCACGAGCTGGTGCTGAGGGCGAGCGACGGCGGCGAGCCGTCCCGGACGGGCACGGCGCGGATCCGCGTGACGGTGCTGGACGCGAACGACAACGCGCCCGTGTTCAGCCAGGCGGAGTACACGGTGCGTGTGCCGGAGGACGTGCCCGTGGGCTCCGTCCTGGTCACCGTCACGGCCACAGATGCAGACGAGGGTTTGAATGGGCAAGTGAAATACTCTTTAAAAAAAATCACGGAGAAAGCCTCGAAGATACTCCAGCTGGATCCTGAGACGGGAGCGATCACGCTGCTGCAGAACTTGGACTTCGAGGAAGGGGACTACTATGAACTGGAGGTGCAGGCGCATGATGGTGGAGCACTTTTCGACACTGCTAAATTTGCGATCACCGTTACAGATATCAACGATAATGCACCCGAACTGACAGTGTCATCGGCCCTGAGCGCGATCTCGGAGGACGCCCCGACGGGGACTGTGGTAGCCCTGCTGCATGTGCAGGACCGTGACTCAGGGGCCAACGGCGAGGTGCGCTGCTCCCTCGACGGGAGCCTCCCGTTCAGGCTGGAGAGCTCGCAGGGCAGCTACTACCGTGTGGTGACAGCGAAAGAGCTGGACCGGGAGCAGGAGTCGGAGTACAACGTGACGGTGCGGGCGGCCGACGGCGGTGGTCCGTCGCTGCAGAGCAGCAGGGTGCTGTGTCTGCGGGTGCTGGACGTGAACGACAACGCGCCGGTGTTCTCGCAGGAGCGCTACAGCGCTCGGCTGTCGGAGAACAACGTGGCGGGCGCGCTGGTGCTGCGGGTGCGGGCGACGGACTCGGACTGGGGGGCGAACGCGCGCGTGCGGTACCGTCTGGGGGAGGGTGGTGTGCGGGGCTGGCCGCTGTCGTCGTACGTGTCGGTGCAGGCGGAGACGGGCGCGCTGTACGCGCTGCGCTCGTTCGATTACGAGGAGGTGCGCGAGGTGGGGCTGTGGGTTTGGGCGGAGGACGGCGGCTCGCCGGCGCTGAGCAGCAACGTGTCGGTGCGGCTGGTGATCGTGGACGAGAACGACAACGCGCCGCAGGTGCTGTACCCGCCGGCGGCGGGGGCGGCTTTGTCGGGCTCGGGGTGGTCGGGCGTGGAGCTGGCGGCGCGGTCGAGCGAGGCCGGCGCGCTGGTGGCCAAGGTGGTGGCGGTGGACGCGGACGCGGGTCAGAACGCGTGGCTGTCGTACGAGCTGGCCAAGGCGACGGAGCCGGGGCTGTTCCGCGTGGGGCTGCACAGCGGCGAGGTGCGCACGGCGCGCTCGCCACTGGCCCGCGACGCGGCGCGGCAGAGCCTGGTGGTGCTGGTGAAGGACCACGGGCGGCCGGCGCTGTCGGCCACGGCCACGCTGAGCGTGGTGCTGGCCGAGAGCGTGGCCGAGCTGCTGGCCGAGCTGGGCAGCGCGGCGCGGGCGGAGGCGGAGGCGGGGGCGGGCGAGGCGGGCGGCAGCCTGACGCGCTGGCTGGTGCTGGCCGTGGCCGCCGTGTCGTGCCTCTTCGTCGCCTTCCTGCTGCTGCTGCTGGCGCTGCGCCTGCGGCGCTGGCGGCGCTCGCAGCAGCAGCTGCTGGCGGCGGGCAGCGGCGCCTTGCGCGGCGTGCCGGCCACGCACTTCGTGGGCATCGACGGCGTGCGCGCCTTCCTGCACTCCTACTCGCACGACGTGTCTCTCACGGCCGACTCGCGCAAGAGCCACCTCCGCTTCTCGGCCGACAGCTGCTGCGACACCCTGCCGGCCCGGCCGCCGCCCGACGAGCCCGCGCCGCTGCTCGGAGACGAGGAACCTGCCGGTGCCCAGCAGGCGGACCCCGCCCCTCTGCCGGTGAGTTCCTTTGAAGTCGAGTGTTTCGGCGACGTTTCCTTTCGCTACTCTCTTGCTCTTTCACCCCGTGATCTGTGTTACTCGTAGGGAGGATCTAGACGTCTTTTCCTTACCCAGGTTTACACGCGGAGGAGGCAGAAGCGGGGAATCTTCTTCTTACTGGGGGTTCATCTATAGTTTTTATTACGTCATTACTGTGTTTCAGGTTGTTCACTGGCACAGTTTTTCCTGGGGAACAGCTTGTCCTTTGCCTTTAGAATGTTGATATTTCTTTGAACTGCAGATGGCAAACCTGTTTGCATATTATGAGGGTAAAAAAAAAGTGTTCATTTTTAGGGGTTTTCTGTCCATTTTCATTATTACACAATATGAGTTTCTTTCTTACTTGGGAAAGTAAGTATTGGGAGCCTTGGTGTTGTACTTCTCTTAGTCTGCAGGTCGATATGATGTATTTCACTAATTGCTTAAAGATGTACTGCTTATAAATGTGACAGTGACACCTTTGGGAGGAGCAAAAGCGTTGTTGGTTCCTGTGGCAGGAAAAATGTGACAAGGATACATGGGAGTTGTAGTTTTGTGGGTTCTCACGCATGCTCAATCAATATTTGATTGTCATTGGTTGAAAGATCATGTGACATGTTTAAGCGCCGTATTTAAACCGAAGTGTTTTGAAAGAAACCTCAGTTCTGCTCTGGCATTCGTGTCTGAGTGGGGTTCGTGCTAAAACAACACCTCAAGTTCCCTACTCAATACCTGTGCTGGAACCTTGAAGAGGATGTTCTGACTGGTTCATTTCTGCAGGTGTTAACATTTGCCTTGCTCATTGTGAGGATCCAACTGTAGGTCTTTACATCTGATAGTATCTCATCAGCTCTGCTGAAGTTGTTGCCGAATTGCCCTGGGGGTGAAGAAGGATGGTGGTGTCTTTGAGCTGATACTTTGATGACAGGGTTTTATAACACTTTTGGACTTGAGAAGGTATTACATTTCTTAGAGTAGTGATGAGCAAAGAACTCTCTTTCCGGCGTTAGTGTTTTGACCTTCATTCTTCTCTAAGGAGAAACTGTGCCCGCGACTTTTGTCTCCGTGATGCCTGTTTGCAAACGCAGCTTTTTTGTTGTGTAATGTTTGGACAAGGTGAAAAAGTTGTGGCCAAGTTGTGGGTTCATCAGTTTACTTTCCTACTGCACACTGTTCCCAGTGGCTGGTAGTTAAATTCTGCTTTGCTTGTTGTGATGAGGTAAAGGTGGGCCCGTGTGTGTCTGAAAATGTCACTAGTACCAGTGCTCTTGCTTGCCACATACTCAGGATGTAAAGTCAGTGCAAGATCAGCCAGAGACTGGCCTAAAGCAGGGAAAGGGAGCTGTATGGTCCACCTGTGTGGGTGTGCTATCATGTTGGCAAGTGCCAAGGCCTGTGCCACTCACACCAGGTGCCTTTTTCCTGCATCCAGGAAGGAGAGGACAATCCTGTGATGACTTTGTCTGCAAGAAATACCCATGGAAGTGCAAACATGCTTCAGAGATTCTGTGTCTAAGAGCTGCTGCATGAAACATCATTTTCCCATCTATATTTCCCTGTATGGCTGTGATGCAGAGTTCCATGGTGGTTGTACTAAGCTTTTCCCAGCCTTGACCTGCCTGCAGATGTTATTAAATGGTCTTGCTCATATAAAGTATCAGCCAAGGTTATGTCCTGTAATGTGTGAGTAAAGGCTGTGGGTGCAGAGCAAGAAGGATGAGAGGCTGGCTTCCTGCTGGGAAAACTGGAGGATGAATGTGTTTTTGGCTGAGCAGTGGTCTGATGTTGTGCCTGGTGCCAAGGCCTGTGCCATCTTTTCTGTGCCCCTGGTTTCCCTGTCCTGAAAGGCAAGGGTAGTCCTCTGATAATAGAGCATTTTTGCAATAGCTCTGCATTTAGAGAGATGATTCATGGATAGGGGTTGTGAATGAGGGATTTACATTGCTTAAAGAATCCCCTTCAGAGGTGTTATCAAGAGTGGGTTTAATATGATGTTGAAGACTGGTGGGAATGAAGGGGGTGGGAGGGTATTTTGGTCATGAATTTATTTGTTTGAAGTAGTTGTGAGCAACTTACTCATTGAATCCTGCCTTGTCTGATAGAGCTCTTCCTGAGAATGCTGGTTTGGGGAGGCAGACATAAACTTTGCATTAACCTTTGCAGAGTCACATATCTTCCAAAATGCCCATGTGCTGAGGAAGAATGATGGTGTCTGAGTTGATTCTGAAGACTGACACTCCAACTCAGCCATGTTTAGTTTATGTCCACTGGAACATTTTAGGTTCCTATGCATGTGTCTGTGTTATGATCCTTGTTCTCCCTAAGGAGAGTCTTTCAGTCATGTCTGTCTGGAAAGGTAGTTTTCCCATTTTTTTTCTCCAAAGGAATCCCCTGGAGAACTGTGCCTCTGAATACCAGATCCTCCTCCTGTGTACCTG